ATTTCACTCAACATATTATTCTTCAGGAAGTCCTGGTGTGGCGCTGTGGGTTAATGCACCAGACTGCAAAGCCGTTTGAACTGCAGGGACGGTGGTTCAAGTTCACCAGCTGCTCCTCGGAAACCCTGTACAGGGTCACTATGGGTCGGAATCGACTCGATGGCACTTAACAACAACAGTGTTCTCCAGGTTCATCCATGTTATGAGGTGCTTGGCAGATTCATCATTATTCTTCAACATTGCCTAGCATTCCATTTGGTGTATGTACCAAAGTTTATCTATTCTTCCATTTATGGGCATTTAGGCAATGTTTTTGCTATTGTGAATAATGCTGGCTCGTATTTCTTGTGGGTATATACCAAGTAGAGGGATTGTTTGGTCATATGGTATTTCTATTTCTAACTTTCTGAGGAAGTGCAGTACGGTTTTCAGGAGTGGTTGAACTATTTTATAGTCCCACCAGCAATGTAGGAGGGTCCAAGTCTCTCCATGCTCTCACTAACATCTGTTGTTTTGTTTTTGTTTTTAACTTTGTGATTAGTGCTACTGTGAGATGAGATCTCATTATTGTTTTGATTTGCATCTTTTTAAAGGCTAATGGAGTACTGGTGTGGCACTGTGGGTTAAAGGGCTGGACTGCAAGTCAGTTTGCTTGGCAAGGTCGGTGGTTCAAGCTCACTAGCCGCTCTTTGGAAACTGTGCAGGGTCAGTATGAGTCAAAACTGATTTGACAGCACTTAACAACAATAACAATGGCTAATCAGAGACCTGGTGTGGCGATGCAGGATAATGCACTGGATTGCAAGGTCCGTTTGAACCACAAGGTCAGTGGTCAAACCCACCAACTGCTCCTCAGAAACCCTGTACAGGGTAGCTATACATCGAACCGACTCATCAGCAGTTAACAACAACAATGGCTAATGATTGTGAACATTTATTCATATGTTTGTTGGCTGCCTGAATGTCTTCCATGGTGAAGTATCTGTTCATATTCTATGTCCATTTTTCAATTGGGTTGTTTGTCTTTTTCTTATAGAGGTGTTGCAATTTTCTATAAATTTTAGATATTAGTTCCTTGTCTGATACATAGTTTCAAAAAAGTTTTTCCCAGTCTGTGGGTTTCCTCGTTACTCTATTTTTTTTTATTTTTTTTTTTTTCATTTTTCCTCTTCTGGTTAAATCTTTTGATGCACATAAGTGTTTAATTTTTAGGGGGTCCCAGCCATCTATTTTGTCTCTACTGTTTGCTAGAAAAGTAATTTATTGAAAATATGTTGGGAACCTCACAGAAAGTCTAGGAAGCCCACTGAGCCAGGCTTGGAGAAAGGGCTGGATTTAGGGAGGTTGGGAGCAGCCAGGGCCACAGCCAAAGACCAGTGCATTCAGAACTCTGTGGCTACCTCTGGACTCCTTTCTTTCATCTGCTGCCCTGGGAGCCAGATGCAGCTCATTACCATTTTCAGAGTGGAGTCTCCATTAGCTTGCTTCTCAGGACTACTGTTTTCTGGTCTATATTTAGGGCGAGAACTTCGACTGGCTTAGGTTATGTCATGTGTCCACAATGTGTGCAGGAGGTCAGAGGCAAGCATCTGGACATTTTGACTTCAATAGTAAGTAGGAGGTACCCTCTGTTTCTTTCAAGACTCAGATGAGAGAAAGGTCCAGATGATGAGCATTCAGTTTTGATTTATAGCAACCCTGTATTGGCTTTGTGAGGAGTGGTTGGTGAATTTGAATTGCTGACCTTGCAGTTCAAACCAACTTTGCAGTCCAGCACATTAACCTGCAGTGCCACACAGTCAGGTAGTTGTTGTTGTTAAGTGCTATTGAGTCAATTCCAACCCATAGCGACCCTGTATAGGGTTTCCGAGGAGCAGCTGGTGAGCTTGAACCACTGACACAGGTAGTTGGACAAATAATCCTGATAAGAAGTAATGGAAGTCACAGAGGAGGTGAGGACTGAGCTGGCATGGAAGCATCAACAGTAGCTCTTGCTCAAGGAAGAGAGTCTCAAATGTCCCCGTGTGCTCTACATCACTGGAGTTTGAGGAATGATTAGGCTATGTTACACTGGGTCAGATGCTGTGGGCTTTGTACACACTGTGTATAGAATCCTAGTGTGGTGCTTTGGAATAAAGTGCTGGGTCACACGGTTGGTTTGAATCACAAGGTCGGTGGCAGTTCAAACTCACCAGCCACTCCTCAGAAATCCTATACAGGATCGTTATGAGTTGGAACTTCACAACAACAACAACACTTCACAACAACAACAACAACAATATCTGTGTATAACTTGTGTGTGACCTTGGGTATGAAGCATCTTTTAATGAGGAAAGGAATAATGGGGCCTAAGAAGATGCTTCTTGGACTTTGACACCTTCCTTTTGACATCTAGTCAGGCTTTTACCCCATATGGCTATATCTCTGAATTATCTCTTACCCTTCCTGGGTCTCAGCTTTCTATCTGAGTTTGATAACAAAAGAAAATAGGGACATCAGAGATAGAATAATATGGAGGAAGAGGCTGTACCCTGACTTCTGCTTTGTGACATCAGATGCCTGTTATAGTCTTCATTTTGCCTCAAATGCTACTGTGTTCTGTTCTGGCCTCAGCCTGTTTCTGTCCCCATATGTAACCATCTCAGCTTTCTCTGGCACTGTCTCTGCTTGTTCCTGTCTCCCCTTATTACCATCATATCTTCCCTGTCATCATTACTGCCTGTCTTTAGCTCTGCTTGGTCCACACCCCCAGAAGGACCCCAGCTCTAGCCTTTGAATCCTACTGAATAGTTTAAAATCAGTAAAGATATGCATCAGGGTTATATCCTTTCATTGTACTTATTCAATCTGTATGTTGAGCAAATAATCACAGAAGCTGGATTATATGAAAAAGAATGTGGCATCAGGATTAGAGGGAGACTCATTAACAACCTGCGATACGCAGATGATACAACCTTGCTTGGTAGAAGCAAAGAGACTTGAAATACTGATGAAGATCAACGACTATAGTCTTCAGTATGGATTGAACATCAATGTAAAGAAAAGGAAAATCCTCACAACTATACCAATAAACAACATCATGATAAATGGAGAAAAGGATTAAAGTTGTCAAGGATTTCATTTTACTTGGATCCATAATCAATGCTCATGGAAGCAGCAGTCAAGAAATCAAACGACATATTGCATTAGGTAAATTTGCTGCCAAAGATTTCTTTGACTTGTTAAAAGAACAAAGATGTCACATTGAGGGCTAAGGTGCACGTAACCCAAGGCATGATATTTTCATTCATCTCATATACATGCAAAAATTGTACAATGAATAAGGAAGGCCAGAGAAGAATTGATACATTTGAATTATGTATTAATGAAGAATGTAGAAAATTGCTATGGGCTGCCAAAAGAATGAATGAATCTTTTTTTGGAAGCAGTACAGCCAGATTACTCCTTGAAAGCAAGTATAGTGAGCCTTTGCTTCTTGTAGTTTGGACTATTAGCAGGAGGGACCAATCCCTGAAGAAGGACTTCATGCTTGGTAAAGTGGAAGGTCAGTGAAAAAGAGGTGGACCTTCAAGGAGATGTATTGACACAGTGGCATCAACAATGAGCTCAAATATAACAACAATTGTGAGGATGGTAGGACTGGGCAGTGTTTTGTTCTGTTGTGCATACGGTTGCTATGAGAACAGCACCTAACAACAACAATGTCCGTCTACTGGCTTCTCTGATAACCAGAGATATTTCCCATCTCCCTCATACAAACACACACACACACACACACACACACACACACACAGAAATCCCAGTAGCCCCAGTCCACTGCAATCTAAAATACAGCAAGTTGTTCTGTAGAGTTGCTACAGGTAGGTAAAGGCTGGATGGGCAGCAAGGCTAAAGGCTGTTAGGACTTGCAGGGCCTCCAAGCTTACCTACCCGCCCCCCTCTTCCTTTCTGTTTGTGGCAACTTCAAATGTAGCATCTTCCTGTCATTTCACACCCACTGGGGCTTCAGTCTTAGGCAACTGCTGCCCACTCTCCTTCCTTCCCCAGCAAAGAGGACTGCTACAGAATCAGGTGAAGACCCTCATATAAATGGCTCTTTTAGGATCAAAGTATTTGTTTTGAGACTTCAACCATTGTTGGAAGGAGTCAGGAAAGAGGAAACGGGGTTTGGGAAGGCTGAGGCAATGGAGTGAGAGAATACTGGGGCCTGAGGGGTACTTGGGGTTAAGAAGGAAGGGTGATTGCTGAGGACAGGAAGGAGTCTTGGAATGTTTGTGCGTTTGAAGTAATCTGTGAGTGTTGTGACCTTGAATGAAACATGCTGAAGTGCTAAATGAACATAAGAACATTTCTTGGTTAGTGAGAGGGCCAGTAAGGAGCACCTGAAAAGTTTGGGTTCATGTTCTCAGGTCTTATGTCTGGCTGAGCCTGAGGCAGACTGGGTGGCAGGACACTGGCGTTCCTCTTGGTGAGGCATCTTTGACTGGTAAAGTCATAGACCTCTTCCAGCATAGAGGGAGGTAGCTTCTTGATATGCTACAGTCCTGAAGGAAAATTAAATGCTACCTCAGATCTTTGAGTTCACTTGGAAGTGACCCCCACGAGGGCCTTCCTCTCTCAGCTCTTGGTTCCACCAGGGATGGAGATCAGGTCGGCACCTCACCTCTGGTTGGCTAGTCTCCAGTCAATTCCCTTTCACCTACTAGTAGGGCATCATTGGCTTCTAAATGTCAGCACTGAGAGTCTACACAGCAAACAATGTTAACTCTCCCATTTTGCAGATAGGGAGACCGAGGCCAGGAAGGAAAGTCACCGACCAGAGGTCACACAGCATGTTAGTGGGAGAGGTAGCTCTAGAACATTGGTCTCCTATATGGAGGACCTATACTTCTCACCTGTGACCGTCTTCCCATCAGGTAGTAGGGGCACCAGCTCCAGAACTGGGTTGTTGCCACAAGTCTGAGCCCCTAAGGTGTTCGGGGAGCTCTCAGTCCCACAGTATGAACGTCCAGTTCTGCCAAGGTGATCAGGTAAGGTGGGATCTCTGCCCTATCTTTGAGGCCAGCCCGCTGTTGTTAGAGGGAGGATGGGAGGACGTGGGGAATGTCTGAAGGGACCTGGGGCTCCATTCTCCTCTGGTCCTGAGTACCTGTTACTCCAGGCAAATTATAAGTATGTGCCCTTGAGATGACAAAGACCCTATCCTATGCCCCAAGTGCCCAGATTCTCCTACGGGGAAGTGGGTAACGAGAAGGGACAAGGCCATGTAGAAGGCTTGGCTGGTATGACCATGGCTTTGGGCCTTAGTGTGGGAGGGAGGCTCAGAACCACCCAATGGGATTTATAGTCTTGATGAGAATTTTCTCCACCTTCACCTTGGATTCATTCAAAACACAGTAGATAATTTGAGACATGGTGGAATCATAATGGTCAGGAATGACAGGGGATGGGGGACAGGGTTCAATAAGGGGTCCTGGAAGAGGGGCAGGAAAGTTCTTGGTGGGGGTGAGAACGTCCTTAGAGAAAGAAGTCCTTGTGTGGGGGAAGGGTGAAGATGGAAGGGGGAAGAAATAGGGGTGGTGGGTGCTTATCTTCTCCTCTCAACTTTGGAAACCAAGCTAGAGACATAGCATCCCAGGGACCTATGAGTTGTAGCCACCAGCTCCAACTTCCTTTCCTCCGGCCCTCAAGGTCTCTTCAGTCTTCAGCTCACTTCCAGACACAGACACAACGAATACCCATGGCCCGTCCTACGCCAACTGGCTATGCCCTTTGCCACTGGCACCGACCAGGTCTGCCTTGCTGACATGCCCCCAGGGCCTGGACCTACTATACCTGTGCACCTTGCAGTCGGCACCACTGGTCACAGTCCTGCAGGATCTCGGAGATGACACCTCAGGCATGAGTAAGCCCAGAGTAAGGGGCTGCACCTTGGTGCAGACTGGAGGTGGAAGGCAGGGAGGGGATTCATTGTCACTGGTGAGAACAGAGCCTTAGACATATTTATTTCCACATTTTGGCCTGCAGTTCTGGCCTGGGGGTAGGAGGGCTTCAAGTCAAAAGGGTTGGGCTAAGTCAAAGGGGTTGGCCTATGGCTTTTTCAAGCATGGTATGGGAGCTAGTTACAAGTATAACTGATGAGAGAGTTTGGGGTAGCACTTTGTCCATCTAGAATGTTTGAGTTAGAGTACAAGATCATTACATTGGGAGTCAGAGAATTGGGGTGAAATGCCGGTTGTGCCCTTTCTTTCTGTCTGTCCTTGGGTAAATTACTATACTTTTCTGAGCTTCAGTTTCTTCATCCACAAAAGTAGAATCTCACCTAGACCCATGTTCCAAGGTTTGTTGTACTGTGATACACCATTTGCTTATGCAGCTATAACTTCCCAGAGTTCAGGGAGTATTCTTCTGTGCCCTTTGTTTCTGGAACCCCCCAACACAGGACACAGAGCAGAAGAGCGCAGTAAAGTTGGCTGAATGAATAAATGAGGACCCAGTGAGGCAGATTACAGATCTGTTTTTTTTATTTTTTTTATTTTCTTTTTTTAGTGCTTTCTATAATTTCTGCTTTCACTCCTATTTTACTGATGGTTGCATCTTAGTCTCCTTGTGAACTCTACGTCTCCTACTTCCCTCCTGAATGTTTATGTGCCACAGAATTCAGGATAGAACCTTTCTTCTCTTCCCGTTCTGGGATCAGAACTATTTGATTGGCCCATAAGCAATGGAAGCCTTCTGTTTCTGCCCTGTCCAATACTGTACCTTGCATATGACTAGTGCAACCGAGGGACTGGATTTTTTTGTGTGCTTATTTTAATTAATTTAAATATAAATAATTACATATGATTAATGGCTACCATTTTGGACAGAACAGATGTATTTAATCTTATTCAGACCCGTGGCACCAAAATTTGTCTTCAGCTCAGACTCTTCCTTAAACTCCAAATCAATTTGTCCAGCTTTACTTCTCTATGTGGATGTCACTGCCATTGGGTCATCATGACCCCATAGGACAGAGTAGACAGAACTGTTCCTGAGGCTATAAATCTTTACGGAAATAGTTCTGTTTCCATATATTTAAACCCCCCCCAAAACAAATTAAAAAATAAAAATACAACCCATTGACATCAAATGGTTTCCTACTCATAGCAACTATAGAACAGAGTAGAGTACTTATTAGAGTTTCCAAGAATATAAATCTTTACAGGAGTGGACAGTCTCATCTTTTCCCCTTGGAGTGGCTGGTAGGTTTGAGCCACCAACCTTGTAATTAGCACTCCAACACTTAACTCACTGCATCACCAGGTTTCCTTGGATGTCCAATACCCACTGCCATTGAGTTGATTCTGACTCATCGTAACCCCGTGTAGGGTTTCCAAGACTGTCAATCTAATGAAAGTCTATTAGATTTCTCAAATCTTTCCTCTCCCTGAAATTGCTCAGCATGACAAATGCTAGAAGTGCAATTCAGAAAACTGAAACCCAGAGACGTGAAGTGTTCATGTTCAAGCTGAGCTGGGCAGGTTTGATGGGAAGCAGAATTTGACCCCAGGCTGCAAGGCCAACACTTGTTTTCCCTTTCCTGCTCAGGGTACCAGCCACTGAAGCTGCAGGCCAACTCCACCACTGTTGAGAAACTCACAACTAAGGATCCTCCGAACAGGGAAAAAACGGGAAGCCTACTGGAAAAAGCTGGCGAGGGCCCTCCCTGCCAGTCCTCTCCACCTTACAACAGCTCTTCCCCCTGGCAGAAGAGAAAGAAGTCCAGCCCTTGTCCTTGTCCGTCTCCCGTCCCCACCTCTAAGGAGCTCCCATACCATCTCCACCTCTTCGACCCTGCATATTCACTTTTCCTGCCCTCATCTCACCTGTTCCCCTATGGGACCTTCCCTTATATCCAGTACCCCTACCTCTTCATGCTCCCTCAAGGTACCTCCTGCCCCACCATGGCTGTGCCCAGCTTGCTGATGACTGCCAATGAGCCTGGACACCATTACACCTGTGGGATGACCCTGTATCCCCACCCAGGAGCCTTTCAAGTCTCTGGTCAAGACTTGCCCTCCAAGACCCAGAATCCAGGACTTGGAGCTGCTCAGACCTCTTCCCCAAGGCTGGAGCATGCTGGCATGGTGGCTACTACAAAGTGGACTTCAGCTCTACCCTACCCACTGAAGAAACAGAATGGCAAAATCCTCTATGAGTGCAATGTGTGCAGCAAGAGCTTTGGGCAGCTTTCCAACCTCAAGGTATCTGTCTCCTGGGTGTAGCTGCTTCCTGCAGCACTCTGCAATGATCTGTCTCTCTGCTCCCAGTCCTGCTCCTAGAATCAGGGACCTTAAAGCCAGAAGGAACTCCTGAGTAGCTTCTCAACTGTGTGACCCTTTAGGCTCTAGCTTCCCCATCGTTGATGTTGTTAAGTGCTTTTGAGTTGGTGCCAACTCATGGAGACCCTGTATGTAGAAAGACAATACAGGATAAGATGGCCACAAAATGTTCTCTCCACCCCAGAAAGCTATCTATGAGATCATCTCACTTAAATTAAAAATGGGGAAGCTGAGGAGCCTACTGGGAAGGGGTTGCCCAAGGTAACTTAGATATAATGGTAGAGTTAAGTCTTGACCTCAGTCGCCCAAAGTCTAGTGCAAAGTCCTTCTCTCAACAGTCATCCTTCCTGGATCCACAATCAAATGTCTTCTTCACTTTATTGAAGACCAGATGGGAGGTTGGGTAGTTTTTAGTGAATCTAGATCACAGACCTGACAACCAACCTTTTTCAAGTGTCTGGGCAGTGGGCATCATTACGTGCATCACCCAGCAGAGGGCGATCATAGGCATAGCTCTCAAAGCCAAGACGCTATGAGCAAGTCGGTACCCACTGAAATGGAGGAAAAGTTAATGGTTATAGAGAACTTAGACCTACTGGATCCTCTTGGGGTCTTAAACTTTCATGAGTTTCAGACCTCTTGGAAAGGTAGAAAAGATGCAAACTTTTGAGACCCACCCAGAGATTTGGATTCAGCCTGTCTGGGGTGATGACTGGGAATCTGTGTTTTTAAGAAGTTCCCAGGTGATGCAGAAGATGCTGGCCTGTGAACCACGCTTACCTGGCTTTCTGAACATTGCTATCTCCTTTCTCACAGGGCAGCAGAAAGAGTATGGTGTGCCCTAGGAAATGGTAGAGAGGCCCTGAGTGGAGTGATAGACAAGAAAAGGAGATAAGAGAGGCTTTGATGTCCAAAAGCAGTCCTCAGGGACTTGGGTGAGGATTCTAGTTCTACTTGGGGATTCTGGGCAGTTAGAATTTCCCTTATACCTGGCTCAGGTCCACCTGCGCGTGCACAGTGGGGAGCGCCCGTTCCAGTGTGCCCTGTGCAAGAAGAGCTTCACCCAGCTCGCCCACCTGCAGAAGCACCACCTGGTGCACACCGGGGAGCGGCCCCATGAGTGCCTGGTGAGACTTTTCTCCCCTGTCCTGTACTCCCACAGCTGGTGACGAGTTCTAGGCCCCTGGAGCCTCCACTCCCAGTCCTATTAAGCAAGTGGAGGCAGGAAGCGGGTGGAGAGGTAAAAATGACCTCTTAGCCTAGGGACTCTGGGATGAGATATTGGAGGTCACTTCCAGGAACTGGAGGGGAAATAGAGGTGTCTGTCTGTCAGGGGAAGTTGGGAAATGGATACCCATGATCTACCTCCCAGGGTTGCTGGACTAATGGTTAACGTCATAATGCATGCATAGTACCAAGAGGAAGGACACTTCATCAATGTCAGCCCTTTCCTCTTTCAGCCTTACCACAACCCTAGGAGCTCAGAGGGCTTTTGTTGTTGTTAAGTGCCGTCGAGTCGGTTCCGACCCATAGCGACCCTGTACAGGATTTCCGAGGGTGTAAATCTTTACGGGAGTAGAAAGCCTCATCTTTCGTCCGCGGAGCGGCTGGTAGTTTCGAACCGCTGACCTTAAGGTTCGCAGCCCGATTCGTAACCACTACGCTTTAGAGAGACAGAAATGAAGCAGCGGTTCCAAGTCTGGGCTAAAGAGTCAGGCTGCCTGGGTTCAAATCTTAGCTCTGCCTTTAACTTGGTGTGTGACCTTAGGCTGGTGGCCTTATTCCTTTGAGCCTCTGTTTTGCTACACTGTAATACAGAAATTGTACTTGTACTTAGTCATAGGGTCCTGGGGATGACTGCACGAGACCATAGAAGTACATCAAGTCAAGCAATGCTTGGTATGTGTTAACACCCAGTTAATCATGGATATAATGCTAATTACGTTCACTGATGCTGCAGCCCCGTGAACTGCGCTAAGGGTGCTATGTGATGATCTCATTCAGTCTACCACACCTGTGAGGTTAGGTATTAATAGTCATATGCTATCAATAAGGAGAGCAAGGCTCAGAGAGATGCCATCTATCCAAGGTCACACAGGGCATCAAAGAACCAAGATCTATACCCAGTCTGCTGGGCTCCTTATGTGCCAGGCGCTGTGGGCTTTAGGGAGAAATCAGTGGGTGAAAACTGTTGGCCTTCTGTTGACAGCTAGGTGGGTGGAATTGTTATCACGATGGGGAAGAGGGGAGCAGAGATCCAGAGCTAGCATTAGGAAAGAGATGACGCCTATGCTCGTTCCCATCAGCTGTGCCACAAACGCTTCAGCAGCTCCAGCAACCTGAAGACCCACCTGCGCCTGCACTCAGGAGCCCGGCCCTTCCAGTGCAGTGTATGCCCAAGGCGCTTCACCCAGCACAGTCACTTGAAGCTGCACCACCGGCTGCATGCCCTACAACCTTGCAGCCTCCCTCACACCCACCTGCCCCTGGCCTCCCTCGCCTGCCGTGACCACTGGCAAAAGGGGGTACGAGATCTTGCAGCGGCACCATCAGAGAGGAAAGGTGGGTTGGGATACAGTCAAGGACAAAGGGGTCTTTAGCACCCCAGAAAAAGCAAGGACACCCAGCCTGAATGGTGGTGCCAAGGCTGCTGTAGGGAGGGGACAGGGGTCAAGCAATTAAATGACTTTCTCACTAATGAGTTGAAGCCTCCTAAATTCAGTGGTGGAGGGGGAAGCCACTGTGTATTTGCCAAACCTCATGCACCACCAGCGGGTCAGGGGACAGAACCAGGAAGAGCGTTTGTTGTCTGTGCATTGGGTGGGTGTCTGCAGCCAGTTAAGTCAAGACTGGCTGTGGGTTCCACTGCTTGTCTAAGGCCTGCCTGGGACCAGGTTTGCCAATGGCAGGTCCAGCTTTCCAAGATTCTGTAAGGTACAGACAATGCTGCCAAGTACAGAGCATCATGGCTTCTTCCAGACACATGTTCCAGCCACTGGTCCAGATGTTTCTCTGCTGCTTCCCACCATTTCCTGGTCTCACAGCCACTGTTCCTGCTATGCTAGGCCAGGCGGCCTCCTCAGCGGGCAGGTGATGTGTGCACCTTCCGCTGCACATACCGGGATCTAACCCCCCTGCAGGGGTAGAGAAGAAGGCAAGACAAGGATGCTTAGTGTCCATTCATGATGCATGATATCATCTGTGTACCAGGTCCCCACATGAGGCAAAGGTCCAAGGGGTACAGAGCTCAGGAAAGGGAAGGAGGCGGTAGAAGGACTCCAGACAGACGTGGGCTCCTCCTGATGGTCTTACTCTTTGAAATCCCAGAGGATCCCCTCAATGTGCAAGATGTTGTCCTGTCACTCCTCTGACCCCACTCATGAGTCAGGCAGCGTTAGGTGGAAAAGGGTAGATGGGAGGCCCAGGTTGTAATCCTGGGTGTTGCCTTGCTATTGGACCATTTTCTTCTCAGAGTCCCAGCTTCTCCTCCTGTAAAATGGGGGCACTGTACTTAATGCTGTCTTCTAAGAAGACTTCTGCCATCCAGGATGTCCTTATATATATGCCTCCAAAGGCAGCTGGATAAAGAACACAGCTGGTGGGGGAGGGGAAAGGACAATTGGCCTCTCTAGCGGAGACTGGTCTCTAGGTCACAAACCTGCCAAATATGAAGGAGGTCCCACTTGCTCACTTATCCTGATTACCTTCTTGTGTATTTCCAGTTCCACAAACTTGGGACAGTGTGTATGGATGGAGGACTCCAGCTGCCAACCACAGCCTACCTGATCCCCTCAATAAATCCTTCAATTTCCCCCAGCAGACAGGATCCCGAGAGGTCCCTCAGGTCATGCCCTCACCCAGAGCAACAGTGCCCATGTACACAATGAAGGTTATCCTTGGCTACTTTGGATTGGATTGGTCTCTGAGCTCCACCTGTGTGCCAACCTGGCCTCAGCTGGGCCCACTCTGGCTCCAGTTGGCACTCGCAATATCACTCTTTAACTCCTGCTTTTCCAGGACTTCAGCCAGGCCCAGCTGCCTAAACAGGGCAGAGCCTGGCACTAGCTGCTGTCTCTGTGCTTCTGGTCTTCTCTCATAGAAAACCACTGATAATATTACAGTAATTCACTAATGGTTCTTTGAAGGATAGAAATTATGGTTCCCATTTAAGAGAAGACAGAGCAGGCTCAGGGAAGCTGAGTGACTTGCCTGAATTTATACAAGTGCCAGAGCTGTGATTCATCCTCAGGTGTGTTCTATTCAAGAATCCTGTCTGCCTCATGTCCCCCACATCGCTCAGTGTCCATGTATACGGTACATCTGTACAGGTGCAGGGAATATCACCGGAGTAGAAAGGACCTTCACCTCATCTCCATTTCACATGTCAGAATAAACTCTCTTGAAGTGGGAATCTGTAGTCAGGAGTAGGATGGGGAGAACATGGGAGAAGAAGGATGTAGCAGCCCCCAAGAAAAGGATCCTAGAGTGTGTTCGGATGGTGAACATTCTGAGAAGCTGGAAGGCAGAAGTGGGTGGGTGGAAGAAGACAGGAAGGCTGTAAAGTTTAGAAGAATCTTGCATTCCACGTTGTGAAATTTGGCCCAAGGAAGATGTGATAAACAGATTGTTGTTAAATGCCATGGAGTCAGTTCCCACTAATAGCAACCCTGTATAGATAGGGTTTCCAAGGAGAGGCTGGTGAGCTTGAACTGCTATTCTTGCAGTTCAAACCATCCTTGCAGTCCAGTGCATTAACCCACAGTGCCACACCAGGACTCCAGATTAGATAGGTGTTTTAAGAAGGTGACAATGGGTAGGTCAGGGGGACAGAATTGTCTCAACACAAACTAAGACTGTCATGTGCTGTGGAGTCGGTTTCGACTCATAGCGACCCTGTACAGGGTTTCTGAGGCTGTAAATCTTTACGTCGCAGAAAGCCTCATCTTTCTCCCACGGAACAGCTGGTAGTTTCGAACTGCTGACCTTGTGGTTCGCAGCCCGATTTGTAGCCACTATGCTACCAGAGCTCCTTAGTGTGTAAGGTGGGAAGTTTAAAATCTGGAATAGTGCAGTGCTACTGGGGAGACCTGGTGTGGCACTGCAGGATACTGGACCGCAAGGTCAGTTTGAACCACAAGGTCAGCAGTTCAAACTCACCAACCGCTGCTCAGAAACCCATACAGAGTTGTAAAGAGTAGGAATCAACTTGATGGCACTTAGCAACAAGTGGGATCAAGACTAGGGGATGGGCCTGGGAGTGATTTCTGAGGCAGGGTTAATGTAGCTTAGAATTGACCGAAGATTGGGGAATGGGGAAAAAGAGGGACAACAAAAATGAGGTTTTATTGTTTGGGGTGCTAGAGTAGTTGACAATGTCATTTACTGAGACACGAAACCCAGGAAGAGAGACAGACTTCAGAGAAGCTATTCAATGTCAAGGCTAAGGGGCCTGTGGGTCACCAGGGGAGTGTCCTGCAGGCAGTTGGAAATGTGGCCTAGACCAAGCAGAGAGTTCTTAGAGACAGTCTAGTTGCTTAAGGCTCAATCTCTGGAGTCTTACTAACATGGGTTTGAGTTCCCTGTCCTGCTACAGTGCTTGTGACAATGGATAGGTTATGTTAGCCCTCTGAGTGGGTCTCAGCAGCTTTTCTTGTAGCAGGTGCTCAGGCTTAGTCAGCTAAGGGCCTACCTAGTACTATGACTATTTTGAAAGGCAGTTTTGGAAGAAGTTTTGGAAGAAGTTCAGAGTCCTAGTGTGGTGCTGTGGGCTGATGCGGCAGACTGCAAAGTCGTTTGAACTGCAAGGTCGGTGGTTCAAGCTCACCAGCTACTCCTTGGAAACCCTATACAGACGGTCACTATGGGTCGGAATCAACTCGATGGCACTTAACAACAACAACACAGCCAGAATGCTCTTTAAAAGCTAGAATGTGAGACTTTGTGATGTTGAGTTGATGAACTTTCAACATGTAATCAGGAGGGACCAGTCCCTGGAAAAGGACATCATGCTTGGTAAATTGAGAGTCAGCAAAAAGGACGAAGACCTCCAATGAAATGGAGTGGCTGCAACCATGGGCTTCAACATAATAATAATCGTGAGGATGGCGCAGGACTTGGTGGTGTTCTGTTGTGTATAGGGTCCCTATGAGTTGGAGCTGACTTGATGGCACCTAACACACACACATATACTGTGGCTGTTATACTTGCTGTCCTCAAGTGGGCCCTGACTTATGGCAAGCCCATGCACAAATAAACAAATGCTGCTCAGTCCTGAACCATCCCCACAAGCAGTTGTGAATCGAATCATTGTGATCCAAATGGTTTTCACTGGCTGCTTTTTGGAAGCAGATTGCCAGGCCTTGCTTTCTTGTCTTTCTCAGTCTGGACACTTGGCTGGAACCTGCGTAGCATCAGAGCAACACCGCCAGGTGCGTTGGCCAAGAGTCAACCCAGATCTTCTGCATGGAATGCAAGAATTTTACCACGAATGACCAATGCCTGCATGATACAAGAAGGCTGCAAAGCGTTCCTTGAAAAATTTCACTCTTTTCATTTTACTTTGCACAAACTTTTTCAAATCCCTTCATAGTTATTAGCTGCCATGGGATCTACTCTGATTCACGGTGACCTTATGTTTAACATCGCCGATTCTGCATCATCCTTATGATTGCTGGCATGCTCGGGTCCCTTGCTTTGCTAATGTGCCAGTCTCTCTCACTGAGGGGCTTTCTTGCCCTGCTGGCCCTCTGCTTCACCACCCACAATATCCTCCTCTGGTGAGTGATCCCAGTAACCAAAAGTCAGGACCACTGCCCTCAAGATAATTCCTACTCTTTGTGACCCTATAAGGAAAGAGTAGAATTGTCACATAGGGTTTCCAAGGCTGTAAATCTTTAAGGAAGAAAACTGTCTCATCTTTCTCCAGTGGTGGGTTTGAACTACCAACATTAACATTACCAGCCCAGTGCTTAGTCCACTGCACCACCAGAACTCCTTAATGATCCCAGTGTTGTTAGGGGTACTCGATTTGGTTATGATTAATATTGACTCTATGCACAACAGAGGTCCTGCGCCCTCCTCACAATGATTCTATTTGAGCCCATTGTGTCAATTCATCTGTTGGGGGTCTTTCCCAGTTTTCACTGACCCTCTACTTTATCAAGCATGATGTTCTTTTCCAGGACTGGCCCCTCATGACAACATGTCCAAAGTACAAGAGACAGTGTCTTCCATTTTAGTTTCTAAGGAGCATTCTGTCTGTACTTCTTCCCACACAGATTTATTCTTTTGGCAGCTTATGGTACTTTCTTTATTCTTCACCAACATCATAATTCAAATATATTAATTCTTCTATGGTGTTGTTCATTCATTGTTCAACTCTCACATGCACATATTGCTAATAAGTGTGGTTGAGTCAATTTTGACCAATAGCGACCCCGTAGCGTAGTGGTTACGAATCGGGCTGCGAACCCTAAGCTCACCGGTTCGAAACTACCAGCCACTCCGCAGGAGAAAGATGAGGCTTTCTACTCCCGTAAAAGATTTACACCCTCGGAAACCCTGTACAAGGTCGCTATGGGTTGGAACCGACTCGACGGCACTTAACAACAATAGGGTTTCCGAGGAGCGGAGTGGTTGGTGAGCTTGAACCACCGACCTTGTGGTTCAAACTGACTTTGCGGTCCAGTGCATTAACCCAGAGGATTAATGATTGGTGTCAGGGGCACCTTAGTTCTCAAACTGACAACTTTGTTCTCAATATTTAAAGGGGTCTTCGTAGCAGATTTGCTCAATGTAATACGTTGTTTGATTTCCTAACTGCTTTCATGAATATTGATGGTGGATCCAAGCAAAATTAAGTCTTTGACAATTTCAATCTTTTAATGATCCCTGTTGTTATTTGTTGCTAAATGTCAAGTCTGTTCCTACTCATTACAGAGCCTCCGAGGCTTTAAAATTCTTTGCGCGAGCAAAAAGCCTCATTTGTATCCCGTGAAGCGGCTGTTGGGTTCAAATCGCCAACTTTGTGGTTTAAGTCTAGTGTTTATTCTATGGAGTTATCGAACTCTCTCTAATGATTCCAGTATATTCAGATAACGTCTGAATTGACAAGTTCCACCAAGAGACCCCGTTCACTTCCCCATCGGGATACTGGGCAGATTCACTTATCCCATGCGACCTGCCTGTGTCTTAGATGTCCCCAGGACAGAAAAGTGGAACCTTCACGGGGTACCCACCGTTACAGACCAAATAGCAGGGCTCTGCTTCAACCCCTATCAGTAATCAAAGTCTCATGTCGTCTTTGGTCCCGCCCCAGCAGGCTTAGGCCCATACAGTCGACACAGACTACACCCATCCTCGCCTTTGACCTCTGGCCCCGCCCCCAACGTCTAGCCCCGCCTCAGAAGAGCCCCTTTGTTACCACCCCCCACGTCCCCTACAAGTCCCAAAGCAAAAACCAAACCCAGAAGGTTGTATAAGTCTTTATGGGCGTAGAAAGTTTCATCTTTTCCTGCCGAACCCACCTGCCCGCTGGTGGGTTCGAACTGCCAAACTTGAGGTTAGCAGTCCAGTGCTTTCCCCACAACGCTGCTGCAAGCCCCCTACCCCTCTTTCTTCACCTCACCCCGTAGGTCCCGACCGGGCCTGCCGGCACGCTGCCATCCCTCTCCCCTCAACCCCCCTCACCTGCAGAGGCCTGAGTAAGGACCTCGGACTGAGCGGAGAGCGGGCTGAGGCTAAAGCGCTCATCCTGGTACCGCGGGCCTGGTGAAGGGCGCCTCCAGCAGAAAGCACCCCCGCCCCCGTCCTGGGCACGGGCAGCAGCTGGGTCGCGCCACCGCCCGCACGGGCCGCAGGCGGAGCTGCTGTTTGCTCAGGGGGGCGGGCCGGAGGAGGTGTTTCTCCGCAAATGCCACGGTTCCGGGTGGCCCCCGAGATATGAAGCGATCAGATGCTCCGACGGCCGGGTCTGTGTCCTTGCCATGGCCAAACGGCGCCGGGGCCTTAGGGCCCGCTTGGCCCACTTCTTGGCCAGGCTAGGGGGCCAGAGGGAGCACAGAGAAAAGGAGATCTCAGAGGATGCCGGAGCCTGGGATAGGTGAGGGGGAAAGAGGAGGGTCATTGGGGCCGCTCGCCCCTGAGCTTTGTATGTGTGTGTTAGAGAGTAAGTGTTCAAATAAGCGTCCACATGCATACCTCGCTTTATTACATTGTATTGCGCGCTACAGATCTGGTTTCTTACAAATCAAAGGTTTGTGACAAACTTGCGTTGTTGAGCAAGCCGGCGCCATTTCCCCAAAAGCTTGTCTATGTGTCACATTTTGATAATTCTTATGATATTTCAAACTTTTAAATAATACTCTTGAACACTTAATAGACTTGTTCTGTGCCATTGAGTTGGTTCCAACTTACAGTGACCTGTATATGGTTTCTGAGAGCAACTGGTTGGTTTAAACTGCCGATCTTGTGTTAGCAGTCCAGTGTCTTACAGTACCACACAGAGTTCAAATAGACTATTGTTTAGAGTCTTTGAGTCCGTTCCGAAGAGTGGCTGGTAGGTTTGAACTGCCGACCTTGCGGTTCAAACCGACCTTTCAGTCCCATGCATTATCCTGCAGCAACATTTACATGCAGTGGGTAGCTAAAACATTTGTGTGACATCACTCTTTATTGTGACATTTGCTTTATTGTGGTGGTGTGGAACCCAATTCAATATCTCTGAGGTATGTGTGTATAGAACATTAATATACGTATGTCAGTGTACCACACTTTTGGATAAGTGGATGTGAAAACAGTATTTAAAATGTTCTTTTTATTAATGTAAAAATACATATAACACAAAAGCCAGTCTTGTTGACTGGATTCCGGCACTGTATAAGGACACAGTAGGACTGCCCATAGTTCTGCTGCTAAGACTAATCTTTATGAAGCAGACTGCCAACCTTTTTCTCTGGCCAAGTGGCTGATGAGTTTGAATTTGGCTGGTGAATTCAAATCTGCTGACCCTTTGGTTAGCAGCCAAGCTCTTAACCACTGTACTGCCAGAACTCCTTTATAAAACGCAAGCTTTGGCAGTTTAATGTTTGAAAACAGTGTCTTTAAGGTCCTCTTTTGAAACTTTAAAATCCCTTTTACAATTTCCTAGGTCTGGCAGTCAACCTGCAGACAATGATTTCCTCCCTGGAGACAAGTTGAAGACAAACAGTTCTTCCTGCCTTGGTGGACTTTGAGTCCCATATCACTGGCCTATTTACCGCTGGTCACTCTGTCAGATTCCAGATGAGGTGCCCCCCCCCCATCCCCATACTCCTGCACCTAGAGAGAACTCTCTTTTGTAATAATAAACCTTTATTTAGCGCTTGCTCCTTCTGCTGTACCTGGATTATCTCATTTTATTCTCACAGCAGTCCTATGAGGTATCCTGCATGATTCAGATGAGGAAATAGAAGTTCAGAGAGGTGAAGTCACCTGCCCAAAGTCATACAGCTGAGAAGTGGAGGAACTGAGTTACAAGCTTAAGTGGTCTGACCCCAGAACCCACATTCCAAAACTGTGCCACCCTGCCCCATTGCTTGGGGTAACCACTGGATTGCAAGCCAGGAGGCCTCTACTTCGTGCCAGCCCAAGGTGCCACTAACCATGTGACTTAGAACAAATTGCTTCACCTCTCCCAACCCATTTAGCTGAATGGAAGTGAAGGGCTCTCAGAGTGGCAGGGTTCAATGGTTGAGAAATCCATGAGGGCCCCGTAGTTCACAGGCTGTGGATTTGCAGACGACATGGGTGTTAGTGCAGGCAAGAGGAGGTGTTTGTGTGTCTATGCAGTTACTGGGCAATTTGTTCAGATCTTATCATGACACAGCTGTCTTCAGTCCACCTGGGAGGAGTGGGGCAGAGTGAGGGGAGGAGTTTGCGCTGTTCTCACCTCAAGGAGAAAGGGGAGGGCCCTAACTACCCTATGCCTGGATGACTGGGTGCCTGAGGGTACACACCCCTGCCAGGACCCTGCCCTCCCCGCCTGGCAATCCCGCCCTCCCCCTTTACCCTGCCTGGCAGAAACCTGCCCTATAGGCCTGGGTGGTGCTGCCACTCCCTCTCTGGAGGAGGTGGAGTTGGGGTGCAGGTGAGTCAGGGGTGGGGAGGTGCCCAGTAGGCTCCCAGGCCTGCGTGTCCATCTAGGCTGGGTTCTCACCATCTTTGGTAATGGGAACCTTGCACTGAGGCACAGGCCTCCTATCCTTGCTGACTGCGAGATGGCGGCAGAGTACACAGGGAAGGGCTACCCTTCATTTCTATGGACCTCAGTTTTCCTATCTGAAAAATGGGAGCATTAATACCCACTTTCTAGGATTCTTATGAGGTTTAAAGGAGATCTTAGAGGCACAAGGCCTAGTACTAAGTCTGACACACAGAAGAGGGGCTGTAGGTGGCCAGCTTTAGAATTACTGGGGCCCTAACAGCTCCTCAGAAACCCTATAGAGGGTCCTTATGAGTCGAAACCGACTTGATGGCACTTAACAACAATTCTTTCTTGGGACTCTTGATGTGGCACTGTAGGATAAACAATAGACTGCTAACCACAAGATCAGCGGTTCAAATCCACCAGTTGCTCCTTGAAACCCCATAAAGGGTTGCTATGAGTCAGAACCAACTCCACGGCACTTAAAAACAGCAAATCCTTTCTCTGGGAGTCTTGGTGTGGCACTGTAGGATAAGTACTGGACTGCACGGTTGGTTTGAATCATAAGGTCAGCAGTTCAAACTCTCCAGCCACGCCTCAGAAACCCTGTACAGGGTCACTATGAATTGGAACTGATCAGCGGCACTTAACACCAACAAATCCTTTCTCTGTGTTTCTCTGATATAGGTCTAGTTCTCATTTTGATCCCAAATCCATCCTGTCTCTTTCTCTGCCTCTGGCGATGGAGTGGGCAGAGTAGTGCCTTCTCTAAGGCTATCACCTAGACCTTCTCCCAAAGCTCTTCAGGGCTCACCCTGCTGGGTGTTGGGCCACTGGAGCCCAGTCTGTGGGGCTGGTGTGGGAACAGAAGGAGGTTACTTCACCCCTGTCCCCTGTGTTTCCTTCTCAGGCCCTGGCATGGCCAGAGCTGCCCTACCCTGGCCCAAGGCAGCACCAGCAATCTCAGTCTCAAGGTAGGAAAGTCAAAGGGGACAGAGACTCGGGGTAGTGGGGCTCTGTAAGGCCAAGAACCCTGGATTACAAGTCAGGCAACTAAATGTGTAGTCATCCTTCTGCCACTGACTCTTTGCAAACTCAGTCTCCCTATCTGTAAAATGGGGACAACAATGCCTCTCAGGACCACTATGAGAAATAAGGTAATGGATGTAGAACATCCAGCATGGGGCCTGGTTGCTCAGGAAGTGTGAGCTTCCTAATGTTGGAGCCCTCTGGGAAGGAAGTAGGATCTGTGCCGGTTTCCAGGACCTTTTCGCTTCCTTCGCTCCTTTAGCCTGACCTCCTTCCATTTTCTTTCTCCTACTTCCTGGTATGGCCCCTCAAGGATGACTCTGAGTGAGTGGCTTCATCTTCTGGCCACAGTTTCCCAACTACCAGCATATAATTGGGACATGCTAACCGAAAGGTTGGCAGTTCAAACCGACCAGCTGCTCCTTGGAAACCCTCTACAGGGTCACTATGAGTCAGAACCGACTCAATGGCACTTAACAACAACAAAAACAACAATAAGTATATAATTGAGTGCTCATTACATGAACTCTGCATTATCTCATACAATCTTCATGGCAATTATATGAGATTGGTACTGTTATTATCGCTCCAGTTGACATATGGGGAAACTGAGACAAGTAGAACTGTATTCCATAGGCTTTTCTGGACTGTGCTCCTTACAAACCTTTCTTCCACAGTACTGCTGGATGAATCCCAGCTGCTAACCTCTAAGTTACTTGAGAGCAAAGCATTTGTACCACTGTGCCTTGCTCCAGACCTCCAGAGTCCATCACTTTATTCTCCTTTCTCTTGAGGTCCTCAGCCCTTGGCAAATAAGAGGTTGTAGGGGTCTGGTTCACAGATTAGTAAATCAAGGCATTCATTCCTGCTAAGAATGTCGACTCCATATTTGGCTCCTCTTTTGCAGGGACACAACTCTTCCCTAAGACCGGGTTGGAGAGGGATAGTGTCCATATGAATCTGGGATCCTAAGCCTCCTCCCCCACTCCTACAGCTAGGCTGGGTCCCTGGGAAAGGAAAAAGACAGAGATTGGATATTCCCCATTTTCAGGGGAACCTTCTTTCCTGGCGAACTCATGTCCCAGGTATGAAGGTAAGTCAAAAAGTATTGATACTAGGGTTCCAGTTTATACATGCACAGGTTTATTTCAAACAAAACATGTTTAAACATGTCTCTGTGATTAGTAGATGGCTGAAGATAAGTTCTTTTAGTAATACCCTTCATTAATTCGTTTCATTAATTCATCTTCATTTCATTAATGGGCCTTCAAAAAAAAAAAAAGGTCCAATCAAAAAAGTGGCCTCTGAGGGGATTTGTGGGGCCAGTTCAGTTCAAGGCTGGGAGGTCAGCTTGTAAGGTTATGGCAGCTCTCTTGATGTTGTTGTTGTTATTGAGTACCATGGAGTCGGTTCCGACTCATAGTGACCCTGCACAGGGTTTCCGAGGCTGTAAATCTTTATGGGAGCAGAACACCTCATCTTTCTCCCACGGAACGGCTGGTAGTTTCGAACTGCCGACCTTGAGGTTAGCAGCCCGATTCGTAACCACTACCTACCAGAGCTCCCTTGATAGATTTTCAATTTACTTGGGGGGACAGGGCAGCCTATTCTGGTGATAGCTCAAGTAACTGTGTCTTTCACTGACCCTCAAAAGACACAGGGTGATCACAGGTACTTATCAGGAAGTCATTTTAAGACAGTGAAAATTGCATTGGTGAGAAAAAGGCCAGGAACGTTGCACTGACAATATACCTGCTCATTCTTTGAGGGGAGCAAGGGCTGACCTGTGAGAATTTCTTTAGGAAATCTTACTCCATCCACCCTACAACCCTGATCTTGCCCTTTCAGACTTCTTTTTGTTCCCAACTCAATATTGGAAAAGAACACAATTTGAATTCCCCAAGGATGCCTAAACTGCCATTTTGACACGGTGTAAATTGAAAATCGAAGCGTGCATAATCCTTCAAGGAAGGGCTAGAGAGATGGAAACACCCCCTTCAGAAGTATATATGCCTAAATGGAGGATATGTCAAGACACAATGGTGGTTGGTGGTTATGTGCTGTGGAGTCGGTTCGGACTCATAGCGACCCTGTACAGGATTTCCGAGGCTGTACATCCTTATGGGAACAGAAAGCCTCATCTTTCTCCCATGGAACGGCTGGTAGTTTTGAACTGCTGATCTTGAGGCTCACAGCCTGATTCGTAAACACGTTTTGATACTGTTTTTTAATTAAAAAGAAAGTGTCTATATTTTTGTAGCAAACTTTTTGACTTACCCTTGTACATCTCTCTTCCCAAGTCCCTTCTCCCAGGCATGCTGTAGGGCTCTCGGGCTGGGAGAGGTACTCAGAGGTGGGAGAGGTACTCAGAGGTGGCTGCAGGCTCTCTGGAAGCCTGAAGTGTACAGAGGCCACGGGAACTTGGGCAGACATGTCTCATCACCAGAGGACTGGAGACCTCTGGGTGCTGGGGAAGGCAGCAGTCAGCCTAAGAGGAAGCCAAGGTCACCACCCTTAGTGTGGGCAGGCCTGGAAGCTGGTGCCTGGGAGCTGGGAGCCCTCCCTGCCTTGCTTGCTGTGTGTCCTTAGTCAAGCCACTGTTCTCCAAGTAGAATGTGGAGGTCTTCCTTGTTCATAGATAGAATGGGATGTGGTGAATTAAACCTTGAAGGGCCTTGCCAGAGTTTGGTCCTTTTGCCCAGCTTCAGTGGCCTGGAAGCGTCAACTCAGGGCAGCTCTGCTTGGTGTCAGATCCCTGCTCAACTTCCCTTGTGCCAGGTGGGCAGCCCAGGGTGTCACCATGCCCCTGCCCCTCTTGATGCCCATCTCTGCTTTCCTCAGGCCCAGACCCAGAGCTGCTCAGAATGGGACCTTCCGTCAGGGACCCATGGGTCCTGGCTTTGGAAGCGAAGAACCAGCTCAGGGGGTCTTGAGCAACCCCTGGGGCGTCTGCAGAGGCCAGCTGTGGGCAGTGCCTCTGACCTGGCCAGCTATGCCTCCATGGGACCCGAGAGCCCAGCACTGACAGTAGCCTCAGCAGAGCCCACCTGTGCCAGGAGCTCCTCATGCCTGGTGCCAGCTCTGGAACATTTGGAACAAAGACTCTCAAACTGTGCTTGCCCACAGTCCCCATGCCCAGCTGCAGTGGTCCCTGTGAGGCCTGAGGCTCCCAGCAACATGGAAGAAGTGTTCTTGCTGCCCCGCCCAGCATCCTTTCCCAGGACAAGGACAGAGGGGACAAAGGGCGAGCCTACCACCCCAGAGCCAGCCCTTCCAGAGCCAACCCAGACCCTCCATGTATGCTCCTTTACCAGGAGGACCCGCTACCACATCACCGTCACCCTGCAATGCAGGCAGGCATCTGGGCAGGAGGGTGAGGAGCCCGAACCGGCCCAACCAGATCCCCACCCCTGCGGCCCTGAGGAATCCAGGGGCTGGCAGGAGCCTCCCCAGGGGCCACGCCCCATCTTGGGGTGCCCTACCGCCCCACCCCAAGAGTCCCGGCTGAGAGGCCGACCACATCAGGGGAACACAGCTCAGCGGCAAGAGCTCCAGACTAGTTGGACATCTGGGTCCCCACACAGACGGTAAGCAGAGGTCGGTCCCATGGGGAATGATGGTGGGAGGGGATATGTGTTGTCCCATAGTGGGTATCTGCCTTGTCCTTGGGCTTCTTCAACTCAAGGCCCATTCATTCAGCTTCTTGAGCTCCAGCTGACTGGATCACCCCTTCCCTGCTCCAACTCTGACCTCCTTTCCTACCTCTACCCTTGGGGTACTGCTGCTCTCCTCCCCTGCCCACCCGGGGAGGAGGAAACCTTGTCCCAGAGAAGACAGGCCACCTTTTCCTCAGCAACACCTACTACTCTCAGTACTATCTAGGAGTCCACAGTCCCAGCCTGGGAATCGGCACCCAGCCAAGGTGCTGGATGTCCTGGGGCAAGTTGCTTAACCTCTCTGGGCCTTGAGCTTTCGACTGGATTTAGTAGCTGGAGATGAGGACGGAGGAGGTGGTTGGTTACAGGAACATGCTTTGAACTCCAGAGAGTTGGGCTACTGAAATAGCAGGGATGCTTATTAATAACACCTCGGTCGCAGCAATAATTACTCCACCTGGCGTTGTGCTGGTGACCACAGAACAGACAAGATTCCCAAGCTTTGGTTTTTATTTGTGTTGAAATGACTCTCCTAAGTCTGCTTGGTAGGCTCAGAGGTAGAAGAATGGACTCAAAAATCTGCTGGGGAGGAAATAAATAGGACCCCTCCTAGGATTGTCAGGAAGGGGTTCTAGGCTTCAGGTGGGACTTTGAAAAGTTCCTCATGATGATAGTGATGGGTTGCCATGGGTGATTTGTTTTCTAAGCAAAACTGTATTGAATCCTCACAACAGCTCTGTGAAACAGAAACTAACACTGTCCTCCTCCTCTGCCGCCAGTTACAATGGGAGAACTGAGGCTCAGAAATGTTAATTCACTAGGCCAGAGTCAGATAATTAGAACCGAAGAGGCCAGGATTTGAAGCTAGGTTTCTCTAACACTATGTTCTAACTATCAGTGAAACTTGCCTCTCAGGCAGAAACCAGAGGGCTGAATATGGTTGATTTGTAGACCCTAGAGTTTTCTGTAATCTTTTGGAGGTGGATTTGACAGCCACTGTTACTAGCAGAGGCAGATTTGGGAATGCCCCGGTATTCTGGGCAGGGGTCAGTAGGCCTGGTCCTTCACTTGTCCTGAGACCTGCTTGGATGTCCTAGCCTGAAGAGGAGGGAAGCGTAGTAGAGAGAGCGAAGGTAGGTACCAGAGGCCCAAGTGGGAGTGGGTGGGAGGGAAGAAATGGAAGGTTCCTCCTGGGGGGTGCAGGGCTCTCCCTGTCACTCCCTGGCTATTTTGGGCACAGGTAAATAATGACAAACTCAGGAAGGAGACTGGGGCTCGCTTAGGGAAGAAAATGACCTCCAGGACACCATCCCACATGGTCCCTTTCTGGGGAAGTATTCTCTGGTCAGGAGTAGGCAAATGTGTGTGTGTGTGTGTGTGTGCAAGACACAGTTGAGACTGCAGGTGAAGGTGTGTAAAATCCGTGTGTACCACATGTGTGTCCATGTTCAAGTGTAGGTGAGTCTCAAGGGGAGGAGAGCTTGTGGCTGTGAATTAACTGTGTATTGTGCATGCATGCAGGGTGTGTCAGTGTGTCTGCCTGTATAGGTATGATTTGTGTCTGTTGTGTCTCTGAGTGTGTATGTTTGTAACCGTTATTGTGTCTGTGTGTGTCTTGACTGTGTATGTCTCTGTAAGTGTGTATTTTTGTCTGTGTGCCTGTGTGACAAAGCGTGTGTTTGCCGGCATGTGGGCCTGTGGACTGGTTTGGCCTAGTTTGGGGGTGACTCACAGGTATGCAGGGAGAATACAGGACTTGTTGGGTTAGACAAAGCTCTTTCCCACACTCCCCACGCCCCCTCCCCAGCCTCTCCCTTTCCAACCCCACACATCTTGTTTGGAGATCATAGGTCACCATGCCAACAAATCCACTTCTGGTCTGGAGCCCTGGAGAAGAGAGGGCTTCTGGGAATGGGCATGTCAGCTGACCCAGAAGGGGCATCCTGAGCCACTAAGGTTTGTTTTCAGAGCAAGGACAGAGGGGAAGCTGTAGGCAAGCAGATTCCAGTATAGCCTGAAGAACATTCTAGCAGTTGTGAGTGTCCAGGGATGGGACTGATAAACTATCAAGTGGTGACCTCCTTGTTCCTAGAGGTATGCAAGCAGAAGCAAATGACTACATGCTTGTGGAATGAATGACTATCAGGGGTGTTGTCCAGGGGTTAGGTTGGATTGAGAAAGGCATTGAATTTGATGGTCAAGAAGTCATTGACAAAATCTGATCTGATTACCAACAACCTTCTTCGAAGCTGCTTTCCTATTGTTCTGCTAAAGCCCATGAGGTCTTCCAGATGTGATTCCTGTGTTTTTATGTCTAAATCTTTGACCCCTGGACTCCTAGAATACCACTTTTATGGGGAAGTCAGCTTTGGATGAGCTAACACATCACCTGGCACAATTAATAGTGAGTGAGTGAGTGGATGAGTTAGTGCCCAGGCTCTGCCATGTATTACCGGTACTACCGGGAGTCTCACTGGATGGTGGTGGTGGTAGTGGTGGTTATGTGCTGTGGAGTCAGAACCAACTCACAGAGACCCTGTACAGGGTTTCCGAGGCTGTAAATCTTTACGGGAGCAGAAAGCCTCATCTTTCTCCTGCGGAGCAGCTGGTAGTTTCGAACTGCTAACCTTAAGGATCGCAGCCCGATTTGTAACCAAGTTGTTCAGAAATCAGGAAGAGACTTGGTGAGGGGACAAGGACTCATGAGGTAGGAAAGTCCCATGAGAAGAAAGAGGGCTGAGGAATGAGGACAGAGAAGGAATTGGGGCCTCAGGCATCTGGTGTGTTACTGCTCTCAGGAAGCTTGCGGAAAGAATGAGGATTCATCTCAGTTTGCACCCCCACATACCCAAATGTCAGGCACTGTCATAGCCACCAGTGGTTCTGAAATCAGGTCAGGATTTGATGGCTTCTCTGGGCCTCAGCACCTGTCATCTTTGACCCCCATAAAACTTGAGTCACCGCTGGGAACACAGGGCAGGGTCAAAGTTCTGGGTTCCAGCAGTTTCTCAGGAGGGAGAAGAGTAAAGGTAGGGGAAGGGAATCCCCTTATCTTAGAAATTAGGGACAGTGGGTCCATTTCTGATAAGTGTGGGGTCTCTGGGGGCTGCCTTGTAGAAAAGAGGTACAGACCTGAAGACAGACTGATCCTGAGGCTGGTAATGAGCAGGGGTTCTTGGAGTCTGAGAATAGTATTCTCCCGGTCAGTACAGCTAGAAGGGACTCCTGGACTCCAGGTGGGAGACTGGCCCCTCCAGAAACGCTGTTGCTCTCTTTTAAATCAAACCGCCAAACCAAAGAGTCTCAATTTACCTTATTTTTTTTTTAATTTGATTTTTTTTAATGTTTTATTGTGAATTATGTGATAGTTTACATGGGAAAACATTAGTTTTGTATTCATCCTATTGTATATCATTTCATTGCCATGGTTACAATCCCCTCCATGCATCATCAATCAACCAAAGGGTATATTTTACAAGCTTGCTCCCCCGCCCCCCAGGTTGTCATCACACAGCCTCTCTCCCTCTCTGGATCTAAAGTCCCCAGCTGCTCCATCTCTCCACATCGTCGTCTCTGCCTCCGTCTCAGGTGTCACTATTTCTCTGGGTAGGGTCCTACTCTCCGCTCTTTTCCCTTGATAGTCCCAAGGACCTCCTCTCCTAGACTACAAAGTTAATCACTCCCCACCTTGCTACAAAACATCTACCTTTACATTTCCAACCCTCACAATCAGTCCTGATAACAATTATTCACTATTGTATCACAAGAGACCTATTCGCATTTCATTTCATCAGCCCCGCCTAGACAGATTGGACATTACTCAGTGGGGAGATTCTACCTTCCTTCACACCCTCTGGATCTAGCTTCCCTCTTGAAAGCTTGTAAGCCAATCACTTCTTGCCTTTATAGCCCCCCCATTTTGGGTAGCCAATGTCCAAGTTGCCCATCCCTGTCTACTCTGTGTGTGGAGGGGGTAGGGATGATCCTTGCTGTAAAGATTTATTCCCATTTTTGAGCTACTGCTTCCATAGGTGTAGGTCAAGTTCATCACATTCTATCAGATTACTCTTTTTTCCTCTTCTTTCTTCTTTTAGTTGAGCTCTGATCATCCAGTCATTGAAGCCAGGTCAAGTGGGTATTATCTGCATGTGTGGGTGTTCTTGTGCATATGCCCTCTCTTCTTATCAGCTGGACGCTTCACTCTCCACTCTAGTCCTCTGTGGCTATGTCACTGACTCTGGGCCCAAGAGTCCCCAGGTCTTGCCACAGTGCTGGCTAACCAGGTCTCCACCCGGGTTCACAGGAGTCTATTGAACGTTGCAGGGTTTAACTCGCAGCTTCATTGCTGTTTTTCCCTCACTTTCCCTTATCGGTGATGAACTGGTCACCAACCAGAGCATGTATTCCCATTGAGTCTTAGTCTTGGAAGGGGGTTTGCTCAGAGGCGACCCTCAATTTACCTTTAAGGAATTTGATACAGTGGTTAAGCTCATGGACTTTAGGGCCAGGGTTTAAATCCAGATTCGGCTTCTGTGTGACTCTGGATACGCTACTTACATAATTTCTTTGAGCCTTGCCCCTCTCATCTGTAAAACATGATTGTTTGTTTATGATTCATTAATAATTTATTCTTTCTGTGGTATCAAACTCTTGGGGCTCTTCTAGGATCCAATAGGACAATAATTGTAAAGCACTTAGAACAGCATTTCACATGAAGTAAACTCACAGCTATGGAGTTGTTTCTGACTCATAGCAACCCTATGTTGTTAAGTGTTAAGTCGGCTCCGATTCAGAGTGACCCTGCATAGGGTTCCCAAGGAGCAGCTGGTGAGTTTGAACCTCTGACCTTGTGGTTCAGTGTATTATCCTGCAGCACCATACCAGGACTCCTGTAGGACAAAGTAAAACTGCCCCATGGGGTTTCCAAGGCTGTCAATCTTTATGGAAGCAGACTGTCACATCTTTCTCCCCCTGAGCAGCTGGTGGGTTCAGAATGCTGAGTGCTTTTAACACTGAGCCACCTGGACCCTTTCGTTTAGAGGAAGTCCTCTGGAGTGAGAAATAGCTGTGGTTGTTATTTCTATTAATGCAGAGAGACCCATATTCCTTTTTGTTCTCTTCCTTCTCTTTGCTTCTAGGTGTAGTCCTCTGAAACCCTGGCCTAGGGGTTCACCCCAAGCAGGGAGAGAAATGGATGAGGGAACCTGATGAATCAAGTCAGAGTTGGGAGTATACTGCCCATTTTACATATGAGAAAACAAAAGCTCAGAGGACTTGCTCAAGGTCATCCTGCTTGACCTTGAAGAGAGTAGTTATCCTGTACTGTGGGGAGCCACTGGAACCACCCTCTGATCCACATCTCTCTTCTTCCTGGCACCACCTACAGGGAGCTGGACCACAGTGAGACAAGGCTACCGGGGCCCAACATGGAGGAGGCAGGTGGGCCCTCGGCCCCGGCCGAGGCCCGAGTGGTGAGTGCCACGCTGATGTGGCGGCAACGGCCTCCTGCCCAGGAAGAGATCAGGCACCGTTTTCACAAGATGTCTCTGGTGTCAGGGACCCAGATGGAAAGCCGCTTCGAGGAGATATTTGAGTTCAGCCATCATCAAGAGGAAGTCAACGGCTTTGCTCTGCGGGAAGGAGAGAGTGTGAATTACCAGGGTCCCCGTGATGGAGCTGGCTTGAAAAGCTTTCAGAGCCATGGGCCCATCTTTTCCAAGAAGTATATACCACCCCCCAAGGAGAAGAGACCTGTAGGGAGAACGAAGGAGGCTATGGACCAGAGTGACAGCAGCTCCCAGGCCCCTAGAACTGAGCCCCCAGGCCCAGGAGCCCTAGCCAGAACTGAGTTCTTGGTACCTCTGCCTGGGCCCCGTGAGCCGAGCCCTCACCCAGGTATGGGTCTTGCCAGCCAGGGTCCCCGAATCCACGAGGAACAGCGGGTGACACGCACTGTGCGGACTACCACAGTGATGGCAGGGAAGATGGACCGTAGGGTGAGCAGCTCTGTGTCTGTGAAGCCGGTGCAGTCGGGTGCGACCCTGCCCAGAGGCCGCAATGCTGTCCGCACAATCCGGGCAGTGGCGGTGAGCCCCCAGGCAGAGGGCTCACCCAGCCGCAGCCAGGCCCTGGAGCTGCTGACCAGCCTTGTGCCTCCTGAGCGCAGCCTACCTGCCAGTCGGCTTCCCAGGCCCACAGTCATTGTGCCAAAGAGCTCAGGTCTGGGTGGTACGGGAGGGACAGTCCTGGGGCAGCTGCCTGAGGCTGGGGCAGCAGAGACAAAGGACAGATGTGCTGTAGACCCTGGAGCCATCCCTGTGAGTGTTTGCCAACCTCAACACCAGCATGTCCCTACAGCCCACCCAGACCAAGAGCAGGGCAAAGCCCTGGAGGCCAGGACCCACCAGGCCTCTAGAGTTCAGGGAGCCTCCACTCCCACTCACCTTTCTCTCCAGACTTCTCAGGACCAAGCACCAGGACGCTCGTCCCCTAAACTTCACACCCAGACCGTCTCCCCACCAGAGCAGCTAGTGGTACCCACTCACCCCAGGACCCAGCCCACTCTTGAACCCAGGGTGCCCCATGACCAGCCCTCTATCCAAAAGGACCAGCCCCCAGCTGCTACCACCCTGCTGCCTGTGGTGAGGAATGAAGTCGCCATGGCCTCTGGGCAACTTTCTCCACTTTCTACAAAAAGGAAGGCTGCCCCCAGCCCAGAAGGGTTTTTTGCTCCACCCTCCTCAAGTGCTAAGGTTGTTCAGGACTCTGAAGACATTCCTGCCTTCTCTCTTACCCAGAAAGATGCCGTGCAGGGCCCTGGGGCTCCTGCTGCCGCAGCCCCCAAACCAACAAAGGTTGTTCAGGGTCCAGAAGGTAGCCCTAGTTCATCCTCCACCCCAACAGAAAGCAGCTTGACCCCACCCCTCACCCAGAAAAAGACTGTCCAAGGCCCTGTTGCTCCCGCTCCTGCTCCATCCCCCATACAGGAAAAGGCTATCCAGGACTCTGAAGGTGACCCCAGCTCATTGCCCACCCAAAAAGAGGTTGTCCGGGACTCTGGTGCTTCGCCTGTCCCATTTGCTACCCAGAAAGTGGTTGTACAGGACCCTGCTGTCCTCCCTACCCCATTCTCAGTAGACGAGGTGTCCCCTAACCTAGGAGGTCCCCTTTTACCTGTGTCATTGGGAGCAGAAGCCAGCTTGAAGACCCAGGTTGTCCCTGACTCCACTGAAGACAAGATGCACCCAGAGCCATCAAGGGAGGAGGATGAATTGGCCCTGACTGCAGACTTGGAGATTTTCTTGGATACCCTGAGAAGCATGGAACCCCCTGAGATCCTCCGCACTCACCGGCTACCCCGAGCGCCCCGCTCCTCCTATTTGGCCATGTATGCCACGCTGCCTGCCATCGAGGAGGATCAGCCTGGGCCATGGATGCTGGGACCCAGCCCCCAGGAGGTGCCAGCACTGGAGGAGGAGGAGGAGGAGCCAGAGAACCCCTACCTGAGTGATGATGAGAAACTCCAGCACAGGAAGGAGAAAGCTGAGCCCAACCCCTCCTGGGACCCCTGCCCTGCCAAGCCTCCTCAGAACTTCCGCTCCCCTCTGGAGATGCTGAAGCAGCATGTAGCAGATGCCAAGGGCTCCCACCCAGAGCTGGGACAGGCCGGCAGCCGGCCCACTTCCCGTCTTGGAGGAAGTGTTCTCTTTGGGGGTCTCATGCCTGCTGCCAAGGAGACCCCCACCCTGGAGCCATTGGGTACAAAACTATCTGCTCTGACGCCCCACGGTGCACCAGGGCTCAAGAAGGGGCCAGGACAGTTGTCCCTGCTATGCAGTGGAAGGTCGACAGTGGAGAAGCCCGCCAGAGCCCAACCCCCAGAAGGGTGGGTGAGTACGATCTGGGTGGACAAGGGAGGGTACCCAGCCTCAAGTGGGTTTAGGACTTTGGGTGGATGAGGAACATTGCACCTTGAGTCTGAGCTTCTGGAGGTAGAAGGATTGGGTCTTAGGTCCAATTCAGAGATTGTGCTCACCACTTCTCTTTGGGCTTCAACCACCCTGTCCAGGCAGCAGGAGGTTTTGCTATGGCTTCCTCCAAAGGGCTTGGTGGCTCTGAAGCTGGGGAAGGGGAGTGGTGGGCACGCGGCCCCTGGGACAGGGTTGAGACCCCTGGGGTTGAGAACAAGTCTCCTGTATGGGCCAACCCCTTCTAGGTACAGGAAAAATAGGGAGGATGTGGGTTTTCTGGAATAGCAAGTTGTAGGAAAGGCAAGCCCCATAAGACTTCTGATCCCTCCCCTCCCTCTCAGAGCCCAACACTGAAGACCCAGGGCAAGATGAACACCAGGCCTGGAAAGGTAGGGGAGTAGGGATGGGGTGGGGGAACAGAGGTCCCAGGAGCCTGGAGACAGGTCCTGAGGACCCCCACTGTGCCTTGTCCAGCTGATCCTCTTCTCGGAGCCCAGCTGTCAGGGCAGCAGCATTGAGGTCTGGGAAGACATTGCTGATGCCTCTGGCTGGGCCCTCGTGGCCTCCGTAAGGGTGGTTCGAGGCTGGTGAGTGGGGAATGCCCAGTAGGGGTCCTGGTTGTAAACTTGGGGTGTGGGGAGCAGTGAGAAGTGTCCAGGTTAACCTAGCAGAATTCCCATCAGCTGCCTGTGGATACATGTTCTGTCCCATCCAGTGACCCTGGGCTCTCTGTGCTCACAGCTGGGTGTTATATGAAAAGCCAGAGTTCCAGGGCCAGAAGCTGGTCCTGCCTGAAGGGGATGTGGAACTCCGAGGCTCAGAGCTAGCATGGAGTCCCAAAGTCATCGGCTCCCTGAGGAGGGTTGTCCAGGTGAGTGGGCTGAAGATGCTGATGGGAGACCAAATGTTGTCCTGTTTGCCCTGGGCCCTCCCATCTGGAATCCTAGTCTGAGAAAGAAGCATGAGCCAGTCAGAGGGAGGAGACACTCCATTTTGAGGAGGGAGGTAGACTTGGTTGCCTAGAATTGCATCTCTGGGTTTGAGTTATAGATGGACCTGTATGTTTCTTACTTTGGAGCCAAGTGGGTAAGAAAGGGATTCTGGGAAGTATGCCGAGGCCAAGTCCCAGTTCAGGAAAGCAGCCTGGGGAAGTGCCAACTGGTGCTGTTGACAGACCAGGTGGGAGATGTCTAGGGATGATGAATCATAATAAAGATTCTGAATCGCACAGGTATTGGGGGATGATTTACTGTGACCCTCTCCATCAGAGTCACTTGCCATGCGGGGCCTAGGCTCTCAAGCCCGTCACAGTTGGGTGCCACAGGGCATTTGCTCATTCTTTTGTCCATAGATTCTCACTGACGTCTGCTATGTGGCAGGCACTGTGCCCAGTTATAGGTGGGTGGAGAAGACCTGCTCTCTGCCCTGCAGGCTTCATGGTTAAGCCAGGATATGAGGTTGGGTTTGAAGCAGGAAGCCGTATAACCAGATTGGGGATTTAGAAACGTTTCTCTGGTGGATAGATGCAGACCTGGAGACTGGGAAGGGCTATGTTTTCCAGGCCAGGGGGCCCTTCTGAGTTTTGAGGGGTAGTGAGGACACTGCTCACTTTGAGAGGGGATGTGTGTGTGGTTTGAAAAGGCATACTCAACACTATAATTTTGTATTTGTAAAGCAAAAAAAGGAAAAAAGATTATTGTTTTCCAAACACAAATTTGTAAACAGTAGAAATTAAGTTTGACCAAAAACCCTTCTTGGTACTAGGGAGACCTGGAAGAAAGAGCTGGAGGCTATTAGACTCTTTTTTTTTTTTTTTTTGTAATGAAAGAATGAATTATCCCATGTCCAGAGCTATTATAATCCTCCTGGTGAGAGATGACAAGAGATGATGAGTCTTAACTAGGGCAGTGGCCCCGCCAGGCAAAGGAGAAGACAGGAGTTTTCAAAGCTTCTCAGAAACACACAGATGTTTGTGGATAATTTATTGTCAGTCTCTCATAATAAATTCATCTTTGTGTGGGCGGTAACAAGGTACAAGAGAGAAAACAAGGGCTTTGAAGTCAGCTGGACCTGGATTAATTTGATTCCTTCAATATTAATTGTGTGCCTACTGTGCGCCAGGCATGTGGGAGGTGCCGGATGATAATAATGAGCAAAAACTATGATGGTCTGTTCTGAAATTTGCTACTTACAAACTGTGTGACTTTGGAAAGATTGCTGAACTTTTCTGAGCCTGTTGCTAAATGCTGTCGAGTCTGTACTGATTCAACAACCCTGTATAGGGTTTCTGAAGCTATGAATCTTTGTGGGAGCAGAAAGCTTCATTTTTTTCACCTTTGAAGTGGCTGGTGGGCTCGAACCACTGACCTTGTGGTTCACAGCCCAGTGTTTATCCTACAGAGCCACTGTACTCCCTCATCTGTGAGTTGTTGTTACGTGCCTTCGAGTCGGTTACAACTCACTGTGACCCTGTATAGAGTTTCTGAGGCCGTGAATCTTTGAGGGAGCATAAAGTCTCACCTTTCTCCCGATAATAACCATTGGGGGAAATGAATGACATGGGAAAAAAATGTTTTGAAATCAGTAAATGTTTCATAAGCATTTGATGGATGAGCAAGTGAAAAATGGTCCTATTGAGGAAGAAGCATTCCGAGTGCAGAGGACCTGCTGCTTCCTAGGATTAGATGGAGGCAGAAGCCAGTCTAGGCAAAGGCAGGAGTTGTGCAGAGAGGAAGGGTCAGAGTTAGATGTCAGCAGCTGTCAGTCTTGCCTGTCTTTATACCAGCTAGAGAGGCAGACCACCCAGAGGCAGGGGAATGGGCATGGTACCTCAGCAGTTCCTGCTGAACCTTCAAAGGGCTTTGGTCTCAGGCTTGCCTGGCAGATCTTTCAGAGAACACCAGCTACCTCCTGACATCTGGGAAAATGGCCATGAGGTTTTCCAATGACCCCTGGGCACACCTGGGAAACCATGGGGAGATAGGGGTGGTCTCCAAGGTTTTTGTTTTTTTGACATTTCAGTTTCTATCCTTTTCCTTCTGCAGGACTACCGCATCCCAGAGATCAACCTGTTCTCTGAGGAGGACCTCAAGGGGGAGCAGGTGAAGCTAACCAAGGCCTTGGAAGACCTCCAGGGCTTAGGGAGGCCCCTGCAAGTGGCATCTCTCACTGTCTCCACAGGACTGTGAGTCTGGGCTGTTCTGGGATCTGTCACTTAATATTCACTGTGTTGGATAAAGGGACACAGAAGTGGCAGTGCTTGTCTTCAAGGAGCACATGGTCTACTGGTGGGGACAGGCAAATAGGCAGTGACAATCCAGAGTGTCAGGCTTCAGGTGGGGGAGCACAGGAACGGGGTGGTCACAGAGGCCTTCCTGGAGGCAGGGATGCCTCGGTTAGGATGAGCTAGCGTTGGCTCAAAGGAAAATCTGAGTTCCACTAGGCAGAAATTTTGTCTGCTCTGTTCAGGCACAGAGTAATTGTCCCCAAAATATTTGGTAAAGGAATGAATGGGGGAAGAGGCAGGCAAATCCATGAGTGGCCATGGCAAGAGATGATGGGGGCCTGAAACATCCTCCAGATTCCCCTCTTGAGACCACTTGCTCAAAATCTTCCCTTCGGTCCACCAATCTGTGTCCCTTAGGGTCTGAGGTGCAACAGCTTCTTTTCTGTCTGTCAGGTGGCTGCTATACCCCAAGCCCTCCTTTGAGGACACTCCCTGCATCCTGGAGCCTGGAGAGTACCCCACCTTGGAAGCCTGTGGCACATCCAATCCCATCGTGGGTTCCCTGAAGCCCATGACATTGGTAAGGGGCAGTCTGGCAAGGTCTATAGGAAGAGGCAGGGCCTTGGGGCTCTCACTGGGCATGGGGATCTGAGGACACTGGATTAGTCCAAGGGGTCGGAGAAGAGGGAGGACATGGGTTGCCATTTTCAGGGGTCTCAGGATCAAGAGAATCCTGAGTTCCCGGCCCATCTGTCTTCCCCACCTCTGGGCTGGTGTCTCAGCTTTGTCTCTTCTGCAGGGCTGCCCCAGTGTGGAGCGACCAGGGGAGCCCAAGGTAAGAATCTCAGTCAAAAAGAGTCTCTGGGGAGGATGTGGCTGTCATGCCTGGACTGGAAGGCTGGAGAGAGGGCACTGGGTTCAGAAGTTGGGTCTGGTTGGATGGAAGCTGATGAGCTCACTGGGCCAAGTCAGAAGTTAGAGTGGATCTGAGTGAGGCAAAGGCCTGGGGGTCAATGAGGGGTGGAGGCTCTGGGCTGATACAGGAGAGATCCATTACTGGCCTGATTGGGTGCTTGGACCCAGACCACTTTCCCCCAAAGCGACTCCTCTACTCTTGCACCCACAGGCTGTGGTGTATGAAGCCCCAGGTTTTCAGGGCCAGAGTTGGGAAGTGAGCAGAGACATCTACAACCTGCGGCACCCGGAGGACAGCCAGAGCCCCCACCTGGCCTCTGTGGGGTCCCTGCGGGTCCTTGGGGGCTGGTGAGGACTCAGCATCCTTCCCTCTACCTTATCCCCTACACCAGTCTCTACCTTTGGGGACAGGGAGTGATGTGGGCACCTGGGAGTCGGGGTAGCTGTCTTACTCATTTATGGACTTTCTTTTCTAAGGCTGTTTGTCCATCTTTCCCTTCCTCAGCTGGGTGGGCTATGAGAAGGAAGGCTTCCGGGGCCACCAGTACTTGCTTGAGGAGGGGGAATACGCTGACTGGTCACACTGGGGAGGCTACGATGAGGTGCTGGCCTCCCTGCGAGTCATCCGTACGGTAAGCTAGTGCAATTCCAGGCTTCCCTCACGTACAATCTGCAAGGGGCGAACTTGTACTGCTCAAAAGTCCAGCCTCTCTCCTCCTGCGGCGCTTCCCCAGGCTGTACTGAATTCCCTGGGTGCGGGTGGGCTGAATCTCCTCGGCGTCTGAGCATTCCTAGGGGTTTCTGCCCTTGGGTGGGAGGAGCTGGCTCCGACCAAGACCTGACTGCTCCTGGGACCCAGGACTTTGGAGACCCGGCCGTGGTGTTGTTTGAGGCCATGGATTTCGAGGGGCCCGGCGTGGAGGTGAGCGAGGCGTTACCGGACGTGGAGTTGGCGGGACACGGGCCGCAAACACAGGCCATCCATGTGCTAAGCGGCGTGTGAGTAAGCGCGACTCCCTGGGGCGGGGGCGGTTCCAGAGGAGGTTCCAGCTCCGCCCTCGCCGACCATCGCCCCGCCCCTCACGCAGGTGGGTGGCCTATCAGGAGGTGGGCTTCTCGGGAGAACAGTACGTGCTGGAGAAGGGCGTGTACCGCAACTGCGACGACTGGGGCGCGGGCAACAGCGCCCTCGCCTCGCTGCAGCCGGTCCTGCAGGTGTGTGCCGCGGGAGCTGGACTTGGAGCTAAGGGACGCACGTTGTGGAGGGGATGGAGTCTGGAAGGGCGGGGTTCGTAGCTCGGGAAGGGATGGGGCTAATGCAGATCCGGGAGAGAAAGCGTCTGAAATCAGAGATATTGAGGCTAGGGACTGTTACCTTTTTAAGTTTTGAAATTTTGGTCCCTCCCTTCAGGTTGGGGAGCACAATCTGCACTTTGTTTCAAAGGTAAGGAGGAGACTTAGTAGGAAGCTGGTAGGAGGCTAAGTCTCCTCTCTTCTTTCAAACCTTTCCCCCTTCTTTAACAGTGTGCCTCCCTTCCCTATCGCGCTCCTTTGCTCTCATCTCCCCTTTCTGCCCCCAGATTCAGCTTTTCTCCGGCCCCGACTTCCTGGGTGACCACATCTCCTTCGAGAATGATCAGGCCTCTTTGCCCCCCTCTTTCCAGCCCCAGTCCTGCCGGGTCCACGGTGGCAGGTGAGTGCTAGGGGCGGGGGGTGGGGGTGGAAACCTCCGAGGGGCAGGTGGACTCATCTACAATGTAGCACTTGACTCGACTTGAGATTCGAGGTTGCAGAAGAGTCTTTCTTTCCAGTAAATAGATGATGTTCTTCCCTTAGCCTCCTTGAAACGTGGCTGTTTTGCCCTGAGTTGTTCAGTTTTAAAAAGCAGAAAATAAAATAAGGGTTTAATGGGCAATATAAAACATACATACCTAGAAAATACAGCATAGCAAACCTCAATCTTGTTTCCTCCACTTTTTTTTTTTCTTTTTGGTAGAGTAAAAATTCCCAGACCCACCATAAAATTTCTCCAGTAAATGATTCAATCTATATCTGTCGTAAGAAAAGACTCTTCCCTTACATCGCCATAGTTATCACATTGCTGCAAACAATGCTGCAAGGAATAGCCTTATGCAGGTGTCCTTTCATGCTTTGAATAGTATCTTTAGAATATTGTTGTTGTTATTAGGTGCCGTCGAGTGTCGAGTGGGTTTCAGTTCAGCGAACGAACCTGCCCAGTCCTGCACCATCTTCCCAATCATTAAGCTTGAGTTCATTTGCTGCTGCCACTGCCAGCCCATTTGTTGGCGGGCTTCCTCTTTTTCGTTGACTCTCTACGTTACCAGCATGATGTCCTTCTCCAGGGAATAATCCCTCCTGATAATATGTCCAAAGTATGAGACAGAGTCTCGCCATCCTGGCTTCTAAGGAGCAGTCTGGCTGTACTTCTTCCAACGCAGATTTGTTTGCTCTTCTAGCATTCGTGGTACTTTCCATATTCTTCTCTAACACCATAACTCAAATAACCTCAATTCTGCTATGGTCTTCTTTATTCAGTGTCCAATTTTTATATGAATATGAAGCTGTTGAAAATACCATGGCTTGGATCAGGCATACCTTAATCCTCAAACTGACATCTTTGCTCTTGAACACTTTAAAGAGTTCTTGTGCCACAGATTTTCCTAATGCAATAAATCGTTTGATTTCTTCACTGCTGCTTCCATGAATGTTGACATGAATGATCTAAGCCAAATGAAATCTTTAACAACTGCAATCTTTTCTCCATTTATCATGATGTCCTTTACTGGTCTAGTGGTGAGGATTTTTGTGTCTTTACATTGAGGTGCAACACATAATGAAGGCTGTGGTCTTTGATCTTCATCAGTAAGTCATTTAAGTCCTCTTCACTTTCAGCAAGCAAGGTTCTATCATCTGCATTTTGCAGGTTGTTAATGGATCTTCTTTCAATCCTGATACCATGTTCTTCTTCACATAATCCAGCTTCTCAACATGTTTATTCAACATACAGATTGAATAAGTATGGTGAAAGAATACAACCCTGGTGCACACCTTTCCTAATTTTAAACCATTCAGTATCCCCTTGTTCTTTTTGAACGACTGCTTATTGGTCTATGTATAGGTTCCTTATAAGCACAATGAAGTGTTCTGGAACACTCATTCTCCACAATGTTGTCCATAGCTCGTTATGATCCACACAGTTGAAAGCCTTTGCATAGTCATTGAAGCACAGGTAAACGTCTTTCTGGTGTTTTCTGCTTTCAGCCAAGATCAATCTTATGTCAGCAATGAAATCCCTCATCCTACGTCCTCATCTCAGTCCAGCTTGAACCTCTAGCAGTTTCCTGTCAATGTACTGTTGGCAGCTACTTTTTAATATCTTGAGGAAATTTTTACTTGCATGGGATATTAATGACATTGTCCAGTGATTTTAGCATTCCATTGTTTTACCTCTCTTTGGAATGGGCACAAATATGGATCTCTTCCAATCAGTTGGCCAGGTAGCTGTCTTCCAAATTTCTTGGCATAGATAAGTAAGTGCCTCCAGTACTTTATTTATTTATTGCAAGATTTCAATTTGTAATCCATGAATTCCAGGTGCCTTGTTCTTTGTCTATGCCCTCAATACACCTTGGTCTTCTTCCTTCAGTACCATTCACTCTTGATCACATGCTGCCTCTTGAATGGTTGAACATCGACCATTTCTTTTTGGTACAGTGACCTTGTGTTTGCCTTCCATCTTCTTTTGATGCTTTCTGCATCATTCAATATTTTGCCCGTAGAATCCATTAAATTGCAAGTTGAGGCTTGAAGTTTTTCATGAGTTCTTCATCAGCTTGAGAAATGCTGAGTATTTTCTTCTCTTTTGGTTTTCTAACTCCAGGTATTTGAATATTTCATTATAATACTTGACTTTGTCTTCTAGAGTTGCCCTTTGTAGTTTTTTGTCTAGCTGTTGTACCTCCTCTTTTCTTCCATTTGCTTTAGCATCTCTATGCTGGAGAGGCAGTTCCAATGTCTCTTCTGGAATCCATTTTGGTTTTGTCCTTCTTTCTTGTCTTCTTAATGATGTTTTGTTTTCTTTCTGTATGATGTTCTTGATGTCATCTCACATCCCTATGTGATTTTAGGATAGATTCCTAAAATTGAAATTACTTAATTGCCCCTGTAGTTTACTTGATGTTGCCAAATTCCCATCCACAGGGACAGTCTGGTTTTACTTAGTCCTTTCTTGAGTCTGACCTCAGTCCTGGCTGCTGCAGTGTGTTTTCCTTTGGCCTCTCCTGTACTGGGGGATTACCATCAAATCTACACCCACTCTTCATGCAGGTGTTCCTGGGCAGCCTGAGAATGGGGTACGGTCACATGCTCACGCACACTCCCCCTCTTCTCCTTCCCCAGCTGGATCCTGTTTGATGAGGAGAACTTTGAGGGTGACCAGCATATTCTCTCTGAGGGCGAGTTCCCCACTCTCACAGCCATGGGCTGCCTAGCCTCCACGGTTCTGGGCTCTCTCCAGAAGGTACCCCTGGTGAGTGTCATTGTCTACTCAGGGGGGCATGTTGGACAAATCCTGGGCACAGAACCTGTTCTCATTACAAAGTAGGCTGGTGGGGGTAGAAGCCAGTCTTCTTCAGAACCACCAGATCCCCTTGACCCTGAGTTGTCAGAGCCAGTTCAATCCCCTGACATTTATTGAGCTCCTGCTGAGATAGGTTGTGAAATGTTGTACTGTTGGGTGCCATCAAGTCGATTCCTACTCATAGCAGCCCAATATGACAGAGTTGTTGTTGTTGTTAGGTGCCATCGAGTTGGCACTGACTCATAGCAACCCCATGCACAGCAGAACAAAACAATGTTTGATCCCGGGCCAATCCCACTACCATTGCCACACTTGAGTCCATCGATGCTGCCACCTGGCCAATCCATCCCGTTGGGGGTCTTCCTTTTTCTCTGACCCTCCATCTTACCAAGCATGACATCCTTCTCCAGCGACTGTTCCCTCCTGACAATATGTCCAAAGTATGAAAGATGAAGTTTGGCCATCTTGGCCTCTAAGGAGCACTCTGGCTGCACTTCTTCCAAAAACAGATCTATTGGTTCTTTTGGCAGCCCATGGTACTTTCAATATTCTCCTCCAACACCATAACTCAAAAACATCAATTCTTCTATGGTCTTCCTTATTTACTGTCCAGCTTTTGCATATATATGAGGTTATTGAAAATACCATGGCTTGGGTCAGGTGCACCTTAGTCCTCAAGCTGACATCTTTGCTCTTCAACACTTGCAAAAGCTCCTGTGCAGCAGATTTGCCTAATGCAATACGTCGTCTGACATATGACAGAGTACAACTGTCCAATAGTGTTTTCTAGGCTGTAATCTCTACAGGAGCAGATTGCCAGATCTTTGCTTCTGTGGAGCAGCTGAAGGGTTCAAACCACTAGCCAAATGTTTAACCATTGCACTTCTAAGGCTCCTTGGACACTGAAAAAAATTCAACACAGCTCTGCCTTCAAGGAACCCATGGTCACATAAACATAAAGAGAATAATGTAGAATGGGATGCCTAGATACAGAAGTATGCAGATATGGAAGGACTACTTCTCAGAGAGGGCTGAAGGTTAGCATTGCTGAGGTGATAGGTCAGCTAGAGAAACTGACAAGTTGCTGCTACTGTGATCCAGAAGACATGGTGATGTCCCAGACCTAGGACAAGATGGAGAGAACACATTGAGCCATATATAGGGGAGAGAGTGTGTAGAACTTGGACACTGTGTGGACAGGCCCCAGGTCAGAACAGCCTGGCACAAGCTGCATCTAAGGATTATGCGCCCCCCCCC